ATTTACTTTTGTATGAAAGTTTTCAGTTTCAATACATAATCATCTATTTATATGTATGAAAATTCACCAAATAACCAGATATCAGATATTTACTTTTGTATGAAAGTTTTCAGTTTCAATGCATAATCATCTATCTATATATATGAAAATTCACCAGATAACCAGATATCAGATATTTGCTTTCGTATGAAAGTTTTCAGTTTCAATTCATAACAAAGTAAATCGAAGGCATGGAAAATTCCTATTTCCAGGAAATTCAAATTTTTCAACATCTCTGATCCTCAGTTATTATGGAATATCCTTTATGGTAGGTAACTTCTGGACCACCCTGTAGATATCATGGGTTGCATTGGGTTGGGTTGGGTTGGGTTAGGCAGTAGTGTCAAACGTGAAAATTGAATTCAAGTATTCAAATATTACTTCAACTATTCAAGTTTGCAAGTATTCAACTATTCCAGTTTCATAAGTGCTTCGCGGCCACAGCGCCTACTCCATCCTCGGACCCACGTGCTCCTTCGAAGCGCATTGTGGGTCATGCGGTATTTTGATAAAAGACTCCTTTTTGCCTTCTGATCAGTCACGGGGGTTTCTTTGTTTTCTGCTTGGGTTGGGTTGGGTTGGGTTGGGTTGGGTTGGGTTGGGTTGGGTTGGGTTGGGTTGGGATGGGTTGGGTTGTGGCGGGATGGGTTGGGATGGGTTGGGTTAGGTTGGGTTGGATTGGGTTGAGTTGAATATAAGAGATGAGTTGATTTCGTGTGGGGCTGGATTGGGATGAGTCGGGTTGAGTGAAGTGAATGAAGAATATATATTTATAGATGAATATAAAAGAGATGAGTTGATTTCGTGTGGTGTTGAGTTGGGTTGAGTTAAGTGTATGAAAAATATATGTGCATAGATAAATTTAAAAGAGATGATGTGATTTGGGTTGGATTGGGTACTCGACGCAATCTAACCTAACCCAACCCAACCCAACCCATCCCATTCCATCCCTACGCAATCCAACCCAACCCAACCCAACCCAACGCAACTTAACTCTAACTTAAACTTAAACTTTTTTCTATATTCCTTTTTATTACCTGATTTCGCGGTAATTATGTTTAAAGTATTAAATTAAATTTCCATGAAATTTCTTCTATAGTTATTTTTTTTTGAATTTCCTGGAAAGCGGAATTTACCATCGCATGAGTAAATCAACTCATTCGATTCCATGACAAATTCCAGTGATATTATCACCGGAATTGCGCGACGTTTTGACGTTTCGTCGCGATTTTTCATTCCGAACATCCAATATCGTAGTCCGTTCCGAACATCTGTTTTTCTCAAAAAATCATCATTTTTATGATAAAAGCATCGGGTATTCGTAATTAGAAAAATACGGGTGTTCGGAATGATCATCGAAAAAACAACGGATGCTCGTTGAAATTTTCAACGGATGTTCGTAAAATTTTTAACGGATCTCTAGAACAGCAATGGATGAACGTTCGGAAAATTTTTACACGAGTATCCGGAATAGTAAATGGCACATTTTGTTTTAAAGAAGTAGAGTGAGTAGATGTAGTCGAGGCAGAACTTTTACATGGTCGAAGAAGGTACGGCATTTTAGTAAAGACTGAGAAAAAACTGAAGGCTTAGCATAGTGCTTACCTTGAAAGACAAGTGAAGATCTCGAAATGAGAAATTGTGAATAAACTGAATACATAGACGTCTGAGTTGTGATGAAATGAGTGAAGTTATGCATTAAAAGCAAGTTATATAGTGCTAGATGACACAAATGTGTATATCACTCTGCTGCCGAAACAAGGAGCAAACTGACCTATGTATATGATCGTCGAGTAAATAATCAGCTATCTATTGGCGAAAGGCAAACTCGCATTTTGCGCTGACTGTTCAGCAAAGTGACCGATATTGTTATTTTTTTCGAGTTTTCACCCTATATGTTTGATAAATAGCGACGATGATATTCGATAAATCTAACATAATCTTTCAATCATATCACTATCTGGTAATATTAACATATCATGTAGATAGAACGTGATATGAAAGACCTTTGTTTGGTTATAAAAGAGAATAGAAAGTAATAAAAGTACTTAGTAACAAAGCCACAGAACACAATCTTTGCATTTCAATAAAAGGAAATAATAAAAGCGCTAGTATCATTAAAATGATTAGAACAAAGCAATTATTGATTATAAGTAATAAGTAATAAAAGTGATAACAATTATTATCAATTACTGAGTAATGGTAATAAAAAGTAATAGCATTGTGCCACCCCTACTCTTATCTATGTCCGTTTGAACACTATTTGTTTTGTCTCGAACATCCGATAGTTTTTTTTACGAATATCTACCTTTTGGAACTCTGCCATGTGATATAATTCATTCCGAACATTCATTTTCTATCTTACGAACATCGGTTAGATTTTTTTCCGAACATCAGTTGTAGGACTAAAACGTCAATTCCGAACATCCTATGACAAAGACGGATGTTCGGAATGATCGCGACGAAACGTCTGGCAGCCGAATTTCGCTTCCACTCCCATATACATATATAGATAGATAGATAGATAGATAGATCGATAGTAGGTAGGCAGGTAGGTAGATAGATAGATAGGTAGGTAGGTAGGTAGGTAGATAGATAGATAGATAGACAGATAGATAGATAGGTAGGTAGGTAGGTAGGTAGATAGATAGATAGATAGACAGATAGATAGATAGGTAGATAGATAGATAGGTAGATAGATAGATAGGTAGATAGATAGATGGATAGTGCGTCGGTTTCCCGGGTGCCCTCAGTGAGAGAGATGTGCTGTGTGTTTTTTCGAATGTGTCCGTATTTTCGTGCACCCTCAGTGCGAAAGATGTGCTGTGTGTGTGTTTTCGAATCTGTCCGTGTTTTCGTGCACCCTCAGTGAGAAAGATGTGGTGTGTGTTTTCGAATCTGTCTGTGTTTTCATGCACCCTCAGTGAGAGATATATGCTGCGTGTCGGTTGCTGTAGCACCCTCAGCGAGACAGGTGCCTTGTGTGTGTTTCTACATATTTATTTATCTATCTACCTATCTAGCTATATATCTACCCATCTATCTATCTAC